AGAAGCAAAATTCAACAATATGCTATACACAAGAAACCCACTTAATCTACAAAGAAATTCACATACTTAGAGTAAAAGGATAGAAAACAGTTCTCCATGTAACAGGAACCTGGAAAAAAGCAGGGGTAGCTATCTTATTTGCAAACAGAATCAATTTCAAACCAAAACTAATTAAGAAGGACAAAGAAGGCTACTATATCCTCATAAAGGAAACAATACAAGAGGAAGAAATGACAATCATCAATATATATGCACCAAATATTAATGCCCCCAGCTATACAAAACAAATATTAATGGATATGAAAAACAAAATAAGCACTACTACAATTGTAATGGGGGACCTCAATGCTCCACTGACACAAATAGACAGATCATCTAGACAAAAAATCAACAGTGAAATAACAGAACTGAACCAAGTCTTAGAAGAAATGGACTTAGTAGATGTCTACAGAGTGTCCCACCCCACAAAAATCAGAATATACATTCTTTTCAGCTTCACAGGGGTCATTCTCCAAAATAGACCACATGCTAGCTCATAGAACATGCTTAAGTAAATGCAAAGGAATTGAACTTATCCCCTGTATATTATCAGACCATAGTGTAATTGAACTGGAGATTGATAGCCTAAGAAACTGCAAGAACTTCGGAAACACATGGAAATTAAATAATACCCTGCTGAACAACCATGGGGTCACAGAGGAAATTAAAGAAGAAATTAGACAGTTTCTACAATTAAATGATAATGCCAATACAACATACAGGAATCTATGGCCACAATGAAAGTAGTTCTATGAGTGAAATTCATAGCAGTAAATGCCCATATTAGAAAAATAGAGTGAGCTCAAATAACCTAATGCTTAATCTTAAGCTTCTAAAAAAAGAAGAGCAAGACAAACCAAAAGCTCATATAAGGAAGGAAATTATAAATATCAGAGCAGAAATTAATACAATGGATAGTAAGAGAGCTATACAAAAAAAATCAATGAATTGAAGAGTTGGTTTCTTGAAAGAATAAATAAAAATCAATAAACCCTTAGCCAACCTTATCAAAAAAAGGAAAGAAAAGGCTCAAATTCATGCAATTAGGATTGGAAAAGGTGAAGTCATAACAGATCCATCAGAAATCCAGAGGATCATCAATACCTACTTTGAAAACCTGTACTCTAACAAAATGGAAAATACAGAAGAAATTGACAGATTCCTACATACATATGAACTTCCAAAGTTGAATGAAGAAGATATAAAAAGTCTAAACACCCCAATTACATTTAGTGAAATTGAAAATGTAATTAAAACATTCCCAACAAAGACAAGCCCAGGTCCTGATGGATTCACTGCTGAATTCTACAAGACATTTAGAGAAGAACTATCACCACTACTCTTTAAACTATTCAATGAAATTGAAAGGGAAGTGATACTTCCAAATTCACTCCTAGAAACAAGTGTTACTTTGATTCCAAAACCAGGGAAAGACCAACCAAAAAAAGAGAACTACAGGTCAATAACCCTAATGAAAATAGATGTAAAAATCCTCAATAAGATACTGGCAAACATAATATAGAAGATCATCAAGAAGATCATACACCAAGTCGCATTTATCCCAGGGATGCAAGAATGGTTCAACGTACATAAATCAATAAATGTAACACACTATATCAACAGAGTCAAGAACAAAAACCATATGATCATCTCAATCAATGCAGAAAAAGCATTTGACAAAATTCACCATCCATTCGTGATAAAAAAACCCTACAGAAAATTGAAATAGATGGTCCTTATCTCATCCTGATAAAGCCTATCTATAACTTAATTGACAGATTCAGTAGAGTAGCTGGATACAAAGTCAACACTCAAAAATCAATAGACTTCTTGTACACAAATAACAGACTTACTGAGACAGGAATTAGTGAAGCAATTCCTTTCACAATAGCATCCCCAAAAATGATATATCTAGGAATCATTCTAATGTATGAGACAAAAGACCTCTACACTGAAAATTACAATACTCTGAAAAAAGAGATAGAAGAGGATATAAGAAGATGGAAAGACATCCCTTGCTCCTGGGTAGAAAGAACCAACATAGTGAAAATGGCCATACTTCCAAAACTTTTATACAGATTCAATGCAATCCCAATTGAAATTCCAACAGTATATTTCACAGAACTTGAGAAAACAATCCAAAAATTCATTTAGAACTAGAAGAGACCTAGAATAGCAAAAGCCATTCCAGGCAACAGAGACATGGCAGATGGTATCACAATTCCTAAATTCAAACTATACTACAAAGCCACTGTGATAAAAACAGCATGATACTGGCAAAGAAACAGACCTGAGGATCAGTGGAACAGATTAGAAGATGCAGAAACAAGACCAGACATACTCAGCTACCTCAGCATTGACAAAGGAGCCAACCATCCTCACTGGAGGAAATATAGCCTCTTTAATAAACAGTATTAGAAAAACTAGCTTTCCACTTGCCAAAGATTAAAATTAAAACCTTATCTTTCACCATGCACTAAACTAAAATCCAAGTGGATTAAAGATCTAAATATCAAAACAGAAACACTGAACTTACTGGAAAATAAATTAGGTAGAACTTTCAAAGACATTGACATAGGAGAAGACTTTATGAACAAATCCTCAGCAGCATGAGAACTCACTCAAAGAATCAACAATTGGGATCTCATTGTATTAAAAAGTTTGTGTAGTGCAAAAGAAATCACCAACAGAGCTAAGAGACAACCTAAGATGTGGGAAAAAAATTTACCAGCTACTCCTCAGACAAAGGACTATTATCTAGAATATATAAAGAACTTAAAAACGTTAGACCCCCAAATACAAAGACCCAATTCAAAAATGGCCATCTGAAATGAACAGACATTTCACAGACAAACAAGTAAAAGTACCAAATAAATATATAAAAAATGTTCAACATCACTGGTCATTTGAGAGATGCAAAGGAAAACAACACAGAGATTCCACCTTACCCCAGAAAGAATGGCTGCTGTCAACAAATCAACCAATAACAAATGCTGTTGGGGCTGTGGGGAGAAAGGAACCCTTTTCCATTGTTGGTGGGAGTGCAGACTAGGATTAGTTAACTGTATTATTTGCTTTAAATGTACCAATAAACAATGGAAAAAAAAACATGATCATTTCAATAGATGCAGAAAAAGCATTTGAGGAAATCCAACACCCATTCATGATAAAATCCTACAGAAAATTGGAATAGATGGTCTTTATCTCAACCTGATAAAGGCTATCTATGAAAAACCAATAGCTAACATCATGCTAAATGGTTAAAAACTGAAAACCTCCACACCAAATTCAGGATTAAGACAAAGATGTCCACTATCACCACACCTGTTCAATATAGTTCTAGAAACATTGGGCACAGAAAATAGACAAGAGAAAGAAATAAAATCAATAAAGATAGGAAAGGAAGAAGTTAAACTGTCACTATTTGCTGATGATATGATACTTTACACAGAAGACCCAAAAAACTCTGCCAAAATACTTCTAGACTTAATGGACAGATTCAGTAGAGTAGCTGGATACAAGGTAAATACTCAAAAGTCAATAGCCTTCTTGTACACAAATATCAGGCTCACTGAGAGAGAAATTAGGGAAGCAGTTACTTTTACAATAGAATCCCCAAAAATGAAATATCTAGGAATCAGTCTAATGGAAACAAAAGATCTATGCACTGAAAACTATAGCACTCTGAAAAAAGAGATCAAAGAGGATATAAGAAAATAGAAAGACATTCTTTGCTTCTGGGTAGGAAGAACCAACATAGTGAAAATGGACATATTTCCAAAACTGCTATACTGAAAGGCAGAGAATAAAAGCCTTCCAATTTCTAACCTGAGACTTTGATTAGCACCTAATACCAGAACTGGGCTAGGGAGCATAGGTAGATTTCCTGATACTAGGAAATGTTTGTAATTGAGGGTATTTCCTCTTTTTCTTATATAAGAAAACAAAAATAAAGAAATGGCAGATTGAAGAGTTCCATAGAATTATTGTTATAAAACATTTAAAGTGTAAATTTGGCATCAATTTAAAACAAGTTTAAAAAACCATTTAAGAGCTTATTCTAAATACAGAATGTTATGCTTTGTAGTCAATTTCTTAAATACCTAGGAAAAGTTCAATAAATGTATAATAAAATTATATACATATAAATTAATTATAAATTATAAAGCACCATTTACCAAAAAAATACTTTTTATTTGTTCATTTAACTGAACTCAAATAATTCCAAGAAATACATCAAAGAATTACTTTTGAGTGTTCTTTTTCCTTTGTTGTACACAGAGCTCAGGGTAGTCCTATAAGTGCTTAAGCACGTGTTTGACCTGCCTTGTCAAATGCTTTGTGAGCAGGTATTCAGACGGCACTGTGTGATGTCAGCTTGCATTAATTCCTTCCCAAGGAGAGGTGCTCAGTATTCAGGCTGTGTTTGTCCTGGCACAATCTATTTACATTTCAGCTTCATTTCTGAAGGTTTACAAGTACTGCTTCCTTTGGAAGGCTATTTTTGTTTTTTTTGCAATTTCATTTCTAAAACAACCTTTGAAAGGACAATCATAATGTCCTATAAAGCTGCTTTTTGGGCAATCATTAAGAAAATAAGAAACATTTCAGAGAACTAAATAAAAATTTCAGTGAAATTGATATTAAGCTTTATTATTTTCATCATAAATATATTATAAAATGTGAAAATTATTACTTATTCACTTAGGGAAAGACTTCTCAATGAAACAAATTTATTAGTAATATTATGTTTGTTTTTACATGAAAAAAAGTTTATTAATTTGTTTTCAGTTATCCTGTCAGTGATAGGAACATATCAGCTATGTTCCTAAAATTATGTAAAGTTTTAAAATTCAGTTATAATAATGGCTGCATATTAGCAAATACTTGTCATTTTGCTGATTGGGTCTCATAAACACCAAAATGAGGTTTTAAAAATTCACTTTAAGTTTCTTCATTTGAAAAAATGCTGTAAATCACTCATTCATTACCCTGTCTTGCTCAGGAATCAATTAGGAGAAAGGTTTTAAGAGTCTAAATCTAGATTCTTGGTTTTGCAATGAATTCTTGGGACCCTCTATACCCCTGGAACCAATTATAATAATTTCAAGTACAGTTGTATAGCGAGTAGATTTCAGCTGACTGATAAGGTGTTTTTCAAGTTCTGTCCTTTCCACCTTTTTTCTCAAGCCGGTTTCTAGTTGGTTCTGTCACTACCAAGGGTTCTTGTATGATAGTTGCCGGATAAGTTTTACCTAATAGTTCAACTTCCACCTGCTGTCCCACTCCACTTAGCTCTACAGGGACATAAGCAAAAGCCAAGCTCTTCTGGATGCTGTAGCTGTAGCTGCCAGATGTTGTGTTGCCAACCACCTGGAAAACAAAACCCAGCAGTCATCAGCATCTTGATCACAGCTGTGTGCTCCTCAGTTCCAGATGAAATGGCCTGAAGTAGAATCAGTTTTCAGCATGATAGTAGTCTTAAGGTATGCTGAGGATGATAGCAGCAATGGAGGCAGAAACTCCCATTAAAAAAATTTTAATGAAAATTTGCGATTTATGAAAAACAATCTTCAAGGACATATTTGCATTACTCTGAAAATTCTCATTTTAAAATACTAACACTTTCTTAATATCTGACATTATTTTGCTCAATTTTGTACTATAAAGGATTTGATGAGAAGAATAGAAGACTTTATTTTAAGCTTTGAAATTTTTATTATTAAATCAGCATGGGAATAAGAGGGGAAATTTCACTTCTAAATAATCTTCCAAACTTGGTTAACTCTCCTTGTTGCAAAATGGAAAACAGCCTGCCAATGAGCACTGAATTAAACAGTGAATGGATCAGTATCCAATGTGGATCAATACTATACAGGAGAGGACATATATAGTGTGTTATTCATATACATATGCAGTATTTAACTATTGTTGACAATCATAAGGCTCTTTAGCAAATGCTAACTTTAACACTTTAGTTTTACCATGCACAAAACATTTTGCTGAACACTGGAAGGATAAGTAATGTTACTGTACCTGCTCTCAAAAGCTTGGGAAATTAAAAATGCTACAAGAAAATAGAGCCAGGAAGCCATGACAATGTGACAGTAAACACTGAGCCAGAGTTTGTTTGGTTCTTTGAAATGGGGCAGGCAGAGACAGAATGAAACCTTCCAAGGTGAGGGAAGATAATGGAGTTGGAAATGAGGAAAGAGGAAAAAAAAATCGACACTCAAAAGGATGAATAAAGGCAACTGGAGACGACAAAGCAGAGCGCCATGCTAAACAAAGAATCAAAACCCAGGAGATACAAATGAAGATTTTATCCTATGAAAGGAAAAAAAAAGCCATATAACAAGACCGATTAGAAGATGGGAGGGTTAATGAGAACAGATCTAAAGGAAATTAAGAAAAGCTGAAGTACAGAATACAGAGAAACTGTCAAGTCAAAGCACTGCAGTAAGAAGTGAAAGGAAGACAATTTGAGCTGTTCAGAGCGGCTTCTCCTGGTCCCCCAGTACCACTACTCTTCAGGCCACATTGGCTTGCTGTGGAGACGCCCAGAGCTGGAGATCCACACACTCATGGACAGCAGCCAGCCCAGGGGGTGGTCAGCTGCCTCAACAGACCCCTCTCCAGACACCAGCCTTTTACATCTCAACTCTAAGTGTATAGCTTATCTTTGTAGTCCCAATTTTTAATTATCTCTTTGAAGCCCTAAATCAGAAGTTCTCTGTATGAGATTATTATGGTGAGAACTGTGTTGATTAAAGAAACTTGATGTATTCATCTGGCATATTATTACAGCCAAAGCACAGCACACACTTTAAATTCCTGTTTTCCTTTTGATCATAGGTGATAGAAGGTAGAGATTTGAGTCTGAGAAATGAGAGTTTTAATAATTGCCATCCCCCCTCCCCCCAGAATTGAACCAGGACATTCATACTGAGCTATATCCCCGGTCCTTTTTTTAGTTTTATTTTGAGACATGTCTTCCAAAGTCACTAAGCTGCTCTGGGTAAATTTGAATTTATGATCCTCCTGCCTCAACCTCCCAGGCATGGGAGGTCCCCTGCAGCCAGTTATCCCATCTTGTAAAACTGCTTATCTTGGTAGCCTTGGCTTTCCAATCTGTAAGCAGAGCTTTGTATCTGGAGCCAGCAGAGTTCATGTGGATTGTCTGGGCACTTGAGGATCAGGAAGAGCCCTGGGCAAGTGTTGGGGTGCAACCCCTAACTCAGGGGGCAAAGCCCGTTGGCTTGCTAACAGCCCCACAGTAATGCCTTGCAGTCACTTCTGCCTTAGTGACCCCAGGAAATGGAGTACTCATTTTGTGAGTATTATTTTTAAAATATGATTTGCTCTCTGCTAGGGTTTATTTTAATTTTGTTTACTTTAATTTCTCTCTAATCCAGGACACAGCATCCCAGCATAGTTTTCAAAGTCAGGCTATTCCTTTTATCTTATTACAAATCTGCAGGGAGAGGCTTTCCCTCACATTAATTTTAAATAGTTCTACCTTAAACCTTCCAGGCTCAAGTAGATCCATTCCTGCTTTTTGTTCAGTGAGTTGTAAGCACAGCTGGTCCCTACTCTGCCTAGTAGAGTCTCATTCTTTATTGAATGGAACACGGACCTTCATTTTACCAGTGTAAAGAATTCTCATTTATCTTTGGCCTCTTCTCTTTCCTCTCTTAAATTAGAGGAAATTTGGCTGATTTGGGGAAGTAATATGGTAAATGGCCTTCAAGGAAGGCAACAGCTCAAGTTGAATAACGGCTTCTGCTACTTTCTTTGTCCCTATATGTTTTAATTTATAAAACATGAAAAAAAGAAAACCTTTTAAAACTCTCTAAACTTCCTCACAAACCTTGTCCTTCAAACTTTCTCCCCAGCTAAGCTTCTTTTATAACTCTTAAGCCCCCCATTATAATGAAAGCTCTCCTCATGGATGTCCATAGTCCTTGATTAAAAATTAAAACATTTAAAATTATAGGCACTGCCCAGCTGCTGACTGGACTTTTCCCCTGGAGTGCTCATCACCATTTGATATGTAATATGTTTTATTTATTTTTTTCACTGTCCATTTCCCTCTCCCCTGGAAGATAAATCCTGTGAGAACAGAGATTCCTGTCTGTTTTGTTCCCTGCAGAGCCTACATTATTGCTGTCACATAGCAGACAATAAAAATTTTGTTGAAAAAAAAATTTGTACCTTATTTCTAGCCCTAGAAATATCTGCAAGAATAAAATACCAAATACCAAATGCAAAATTAGTCAGAGAAATAAAAGTAACTCCTAGCATTCCACAGCATAAAGATGATCAAAGGAGAGCCTTTCATTGAAGGAATAACTTCTGTAGCACAGTAGGACAACTACAGCTGACATCCATTAACTGAATATTTCAAAAGAACCAACAATGAGTTATACTACACACCCATATTTTTCCATTTTTATTTTGAAATAGCATCTCACTTAATTGCTAAAATGCACAGGGTAGGTCAAACATGGAACCCTCTTGCCTCAGCCTCCCAGAATGCTGGGATTACAGGTATGGACCAGCACATCTGGCTTCAGTGGCTTTATTTTATAGGTAAGAAGTCTGAAGCTCAAAGGTCAGGATCAAGTCAAGCCACTGGTGATCAGAAGAAATCATGAAATTCACGGGCAAATTTGAAGTTGGAGAAAGAACATATATGAGAGGCGGAACCAGAAAATTCAGAACTGAAAGAAGGGGAAACAATGAGGAAAGCAGGAATAACTTGAACAGAAGGGTAAGCAGCACAATTTAAGAAAGCCATAGAGGCCAGCCTGTTACATGTCATAAAAAGGTAAAGGAACTTGAGATATGAGAAAAGTCTGCTGGCTTCATGGTGTCTAATCATAATCACTAGTTAGTAGGATGTACAAGAACTTGGGTATATAATTAAGTTCTAAAGAGCATTCAGGAGGACAGCAGCAAGAAAAGAAAGTAAACTGGAGTGTGCAGCAGACCTTAGAAGAAAAGACAAGAAATTCCAAGTCCAGCCATACCCACATTGGAAATTAGCTCAGTCACGGAGCCTCAAAGCTCATCTTTAAACAAGACAATGCTATATATCTGATTATATATATGAAAATGCCAGCAGTATCAGGGGGTGTTAGTTCTATGTGGGGCTGGGGCCATAGATCAAGGGTACAGCACTTTCCTAGCACAGCAAAGGCCCTAGGTTCCATAGTAGCATAAGAAAATTAAATTAAATCTCAAAAAAGACTATGCTGGAGCTCAAGTTGCATTTTCTTTAGTAATCCAAAGGCTGTATGACCTGACACCACACATACTTCATCACTGAAGTGATGGAGAAAATGAAGACAGAGATCAGGTAGGCTGCAGTGAATGAGAAACAGCCCAGGCACACTCTTGGGCCTTGAGTGCTGACTGAGCTGTCCCCTGAGCTGGGACAGCTGCTTAGATGAGTCTTGAAGGCCATGTGCCCTCCTGATGGCCCATAGCCCCAGCCAAAACACACACAGGGATCCAACTGAACATTTCTACAACTCTTGGGTTGTTACTGTTGGGTTTTTCAGAGTCATAAAAAGTAAGGGAAATGAAATTTCATGGACAAGTTACCTGAGTAGCCCTTGATTTTACTGTGCACTTTCCACACGGAAGTAATTTTACTCTTCCCAAAGAACCAAAAGGTGGCCCCTTTTCCTGAATTTTCTAAGGTTCTGCCCTGGCCCCATGGCATAGATATTTTCATCTGGAATTTTTTTCTACTAATACCGTATAGTAGAATACTGTATGTATCTTCTGACAGATCCCCCAGGAAGCTGACTGAGAAAGCTAAATTCCTTATGAGATCCACCTTTTGCATTTACAGATTTGGATGCAGTAAACAAACAGATTATTTTATCCTCAGACTTACAACTTCCCCATTGTACAATGTCTTCCAAGTCTTTGCGTTTCCTTTTTAAAAAAAACAAAAAAAACAAAAAAACAAAGCATGTAGAACCTTATATTTTTAAAAATAAGCATAATTTAATTTTCCTTACAGTTAACTATTTTCTGTTTCTTGAATGTCAGCTCAAAACTCACAAGTGTATCAGCCTTGCATTGAATAAATCAATTAGCAAAAACTCTACTAATAAACACACACAAGGAGAGTTTCCACTGCAGACAACACAGTGGCCCTGGCCACAAGGTCCTGCACACTAACCTTGCCACCATACCAGATGCTTTCATTTCCCTCTGGGTCCACGTTGTCCGTTGCCAAGGTGAGGCAGACCAGCCTCCGTGTCAGCCCCTCGGCTTTAATCTGTTTCAGTGCCTGCTTTCCTACAAAGTCTGCTGGCTGCAGGAATCCAAGATAATGATGATGAATGAATGCTCAGATGCTGTGACAAGGTTAGAGATGCAAGCATTTAAATTTGTCTTTGCTATTTTCTCACCAATTACACATTAAATAAAAATACAGATTGGATCACACTTCTAGACAAATATTTCTTAGTCCTCTCATGACAGTTCAGCCACCTACTCCTTGAGTACGCGTTAGACTTTAGGGTAATAACTTATGGTGTCAGTTTTACCAGAACAGCCTAGGCAGAAAAACACAAGGCCTTCTGTGCTGCAGTAGTGGATTAGGAAAGTGCCCCTCATATTAGGAAGGTCTGAACAGGAGACCTAGGTGGGCACTGCACCTGGACACTGGACGCTGCTACTCAGTTGGTTTTACCAGAAAGAAATATATTTTTCTGAAATGTGATGCTGAAACAACCCTCACCCCCACCCAATGTTGTACTTTTCCTACTTCTGTCCCTGGAAGGCATTAACATAGTGGGGTACATTCATCAGGTCATTCAGGAAACATTTATTGAGCCCCACCTGTGTGCAAAGCATCATGCTAGGCCCGGTGTGGGTAACACAATGAATCAGACACAGGCACTTTAAACAAACAGCTTATTCTTGAATACTGTGCTTTTCAAGACTTTTTTCTTCCATGAAATACATCACAGATGACACTCCTATTCCTACTACACTTCCATGGGCACACTCAGGGTTGTTCCCAATGCAGTGCAAGTGAGTGAGTGATACTGTTTTGGTGACAACCTTGAATCCACTTTCAGGCTTTACCAAAAAAAAAAAAAAAAAAAAAAAAAGTAGGAATCGGGTAAATTTTAAGAGTTTCCCATTGTTAGTAATACACCTTACAACGAAGTAGGACACACAGATGAGCAGTGATTCTCCATGGCAATATTGAGCTAATGAGGGACACAGTTCTACCCAACCCAATGCCAAGGGACACTTAATAATGAAGTTGAACTGGAGCGTTCCCAAGAGGGAGGTGCTCTCAGGGGGATGTTACTGTTAGACTTCCACATGATGCATTCAGAGATTCATGGCTTATCTTATGGGGCTAAAAGGGGATTTGTGATACACAAAGCATATCCTGGGGAATGAGATTTAGAGATCACAATAAAAACAAAATCCTTGAAACAGAATTTTCTCATACATGGACTACTCTCTGAAAAAAAAGAAAAAAAAAGAGAAAGGTGAATTTTAATTCTTCATTGGCCATAAAAAGAAAGAAAATCATATTTCATGCCAAAGATGGCCCCCATGACCAATGTTTAGGATTTATGCAGCCCTTTCACACTGGGAACATTCAGGTCTCTGTGCAGTAAATCCCAAGAGCTCCCAACCAGGCAACATGAGGGTCCTTACATACTTTCTGCCTGGCACCCCCAGTCCACTCCCTGATCAACTGAGAGCTGCCAGGATGAACCCACAGTGTGTTCTACTTTTATTGGTATTGCAACTTCCAATTGCACACCCGCACAGAGGTGCAAGAAAGCTTGCATTAGCCAAGGTTGAAATAATGTGCAAAATGAGTTTAGCTCCCCCTCCTTCCCCAGTGTGATCCAGTTGGCGAAAGCCAACTGTAAAGCTTTATTGTGAAGCCAGAGCATGAAGACTCACAGAAGCCTGGAATCAGTATTATTTAATACAGGACTAATGGGGTGATACAGGAAGAGCTAGATTTATCTGAATAAAAGATAAAGATAAATTCATGATAAAAAGTCATAGCAAACCAAAGTTCACTATAGTTTTTTAAATATGTACATACAGTTATTTTGTTACCTTAGCACATAAAATACAGAAATATTATACACATATAAGATATTTAAACTGGGCTGGGGATTTAGCACGGTAGTTTCGCCACCTGCCTTGTAAATGCAAGGGCTCGAGTTTGATCCCTGGTACCAAAAACATAAAAATAAAGTAAAATATTAAAACTATCTTCATAGCCAGGGATTTAGTTCAGTGGTTCTGGTACCTGTTTTGCAAGCACAGGGACCTGAGTTCAATCCCTGGAACAACAACAACAACAGCAATAAAACTATCTTCAGAAATAAAGAAGACAATATTTTACAAAGAACACATTTTTGGAAATAGACACATTGAAAAAAAAGATTTAAGACAGATGACAAAACATTTAAATTAACAGACTCCACAAGTTGATAGCTGAGTTGGTATTAATTTGGTAAAGCAAATAAAATGTTCATAGTCAGTAAACCAGATTTACATTTAAGATTGTCTAGACAAAATTACAGAGACTTTCTTTGCCATGAAACTGAGTCAATTTTATTCTATTCGCTAAATCACAAATCTTTGATAACTGTTTCCCATTTTGTATAAATATTTAAAGCTTGCAATTTGTATTGAGAAGTTTAAGCTTCTTCATAGCAAGGTGTAAATGTTTTAAGGGGCTCTCTGCCTCCTATTTTTGGGATCAAAACTCCAGATATCATGTTGATTTCAACATTAAGAACAATTATATTTACTTTTAAAAATAAAAACCTACCATTTTCGAATTAACCTTCATGATGATTTACAATTGAATCCATTTAGAGATCACAATCTTCATAAATTCTCTTTGCTCTTTTTTGTACTAGGAAGAGGTCTCATTTTATAACTGGGTTTCAGAAGTCTGCCCTTCGAGCAGTCTTCAGTGCTGTGATAAATCACAGACACTTCGCACAATAATCAAATCCACAAGCTTTTCATTCACAGGTTGCACATTGTGAATAGCAACTTACAGGATGTTAATTTACAGAGAATGAAGGCTTTGAGGCATTCATTCTTTTTCAAAGCTTTGGCAATCTCAGAGAATTCACTGCTTCCAGTACAAGTAGAGCTTTTCTGATCACCTTTCTTGGGTGACTTGGCCTGACCAATCTTTTTTTAGGAAGAGGCTGGGATGCTGATTTTTGAACAGAAGCTAATGCAGTCCTGATCATAACATTTTTTTATGTTTGAAGCCTGTGGTGAAAATGCTGTTTTCAGTAACTCTTTGCATGTTGTGCTTTATAACTGGCATGCCCCTTTATCACCTTCTAGAATCTTCTTCCAAATAGTGCTCACTTTAGCCACATTGGTCAAGTCCATCTCACTGAGCTGAGTGAAAATATTTGCTTAGAGATGTTTACGTTTCCTTCAAAAGAATTCATTGAGAATATCTATACAAATTCTAGCCCCATTTTCCCACCAATTATATTCTGCAGTCTAAAATTTCCACTGGATATAATTCCCATCAGTATTTCTTGATCTTTTTTAGGATTTCACTTGGCATTCTTTTTTAATAATGAACAAAGCACTTTTTTTAAATGAAAAACTGGCAGGAAGTTTGTGTTGGGATATTGGTCTGAGCTTTGTATTCATAGCAGGCAGAACTGGGGACAGCTTGTGAAATTTTCTCCAAGAATGAGGTTGTCATCTTCCCGTACACTGAGGCACTTTGTTAAGTGAGGAAGAGCTACTGTTTTCACAAAGCCTATTGGTCTCTTGTTCTTCTCTTTCATTTGAACTAGTAAGTGTTTGTCCAACATGTCTATTTGGCCTTGTTAAGCAAGGGTTTGCTTTTCATTTCAAGTTCTCCAATCCAAAGTCCCACAATTGGTAGACACTTTTTCATAGTCTTTCATGCCATCTTTACAAGAACCTTCCAAGTACATGGGACTGTAGAAACCTTGTCTTCCAGTGTCATCAGGTTTTACCAGTTCCACTTCAGAACAAATATGGTCACAGTTAACATCACATTTCATTTTGACATAGAGTGGAACTTTTTTCTTTAACTGAGGTGACACATGGCTCAGCTGCAGCGGCACCAGCTCATGCTGGTAGATGGGCATCCATCTCAGGTGAAGGAAGGGTGCTACAGTTAAAATGTGTATCTAAATACAGAAAGATGTGCCTATACCAATAACAAAATATTTTGCTATCCATGTGGCGGGGGCACTGGGGATTGAAGCCAGTGCTTTCAATAGTGTGCCACATCCCCACCCCTTTTTATATTTTTAATTTTGACCCAGGATCTTGCTAAGTCTCTAAATGGTCTGGATTAAGTAGGCCCAAGCTTACGATCCTCCTACCTCATCCTCCCAGAGTGCTGAGATTATAGATATGTGCCATCAGGAGATTTGTTTGAATAGATAATAGATAAATGATGACAAAGGTGCCCCCTTCCATCTCTACTTAGTCTATCTCTGTTTCCTATCATTTATCCTTTATATTATTGAATACAATACAAGTGGTATAAATATTCTAAATGAATAATATTCTTTTCAAAATTTCCCCTAGGTGGCCCGAACCTGTTTTGAATGACATTCATTACATAGTATTTTTGTACTCTATAAAAGTATTTGAAAACACCCTGCAGGTTAGCACTAATGGGATTTGATGCTGGTATCTTATATTCCTCGGTTAGGAAGTAATCTTGCCAGCAGTACCATCCAGAGATGGGAATAAAGACAGTGCCCTGACAACAGCAGCAAGCTGCTCCTTGTGGAGAGTACTGAGAACACGGTTTCGGCACAGACGCAGCATGCACCTGCCCACCCTGCACAACCCCCTTCCTGAGGGAGCCAGCACCTGACCGGGGGGGGGTGACTTAATGGGTGACAGCATTTCATCCTCATTTGACTTGGCTTCTCCCCAAGAGAAGTAGAGTACACTCTACTACATCCTTATTAATTATAAGGGAGGAGGAAATGTGTCTGAAGGTTATGCTGTAATTAAAGCTGAGGCTTTCAGCATGACCCAAGAACAGAAATACATGTATTTAATGAGTCATTACCAAATTAACAGTATAAATAGCCATTAATATCTTTAAAAATGCATAAATTTCTGTGGCACTGAGACTATAGCTTAAAATAGCGTTGGCTGGTGTTTCTTCGTTTATTAGTTTGAAGTAACACTAAGAGCCATCAAAACAGCCATCTGCAACAGGAGCTAAAGGTAACATCCATGTACATGATAACATTTAGATTTTCAATGGAGAGTCATCGGTCATCT